ATAACTCCACCAGTAAAAATGTACAGTTTACTGTGCCAGGTATATATTACAAGCTCATAACTACATACTGCTGAAAACTTACAACCACAATCACCATATGTTAAAGGATATGCATTTACATTGTTACTAATGTCTCCAGAAAGATAATAGTTAGTGAGTTGTCCATTAAGTAATGCATTACTTTGAGTTGTTTTTCTTATTGTTGAAAGTGATAATATGAAGTCCTTAGTCACAGATGATGTAAACTGTGAAACAAATGCTTGAGTTTGTGTCTGAAATACTTCTAATGGTGTGACAGATGCACTAACATATTGACTTGAGTAAAACTGAGTAAGCTGATTGGATATTGTTTGAGTAGATAATTGGCAAAAGGCATTTAGAGCTTGAAATATAAATAAGCCGGCGTTTCGAAAGTCATCGCTATTTAAGGTACCTGTTGGGCGAGCATTATAAAGATAGCCAATCCATTCATCAGTAATAAAAGTACTTGTACATATTTGATGTAGTGTATAGTTGACTTGCAGAAATTTATCATAATCGATGGATATATCTGTGCATGCACATGATAGTGTTTGTGGATAAGTTGAATATAGTTGTGAGTATTGTGCGATTGTGGGTGAACTTATATCAATAGTTTTGGTGACATTGATAAGTGAAGTGTATAAGACAAGGATAGCTAATGATAAAGTTAATAGAATGATGAATAATCTAGTTGATATTCTTTGATTTTGAAGTTGATGTTGATCAGTTGAAGGTGGAATCGATGGAAACATATTAAAATTCTGAAGAGAAAGCTTCGACTGTTGTTTTAATACTTGTATTCGCTCATTGATGCTCGTCACTACAAAAGAATTAATGAAATAAAGTTGTAGAAGACATCGAGTAAAAAACATGTTTTTTTGCTTCTATTTTTTCCTAAAACTGCATAGAAGTCATCTGTTAAACATTCGTTGTAGCACTAGAATGTGAAATTATATTAACAGTGTTTTTCATTTTAAAGTAAAGTTCATTGTAACAAATCTCGATCTGTACAAATCAACAAAAGCGTCGAGGAAGATCTACTGTCAACATGTACAATTTTTTAAAACTTTGTGAGCTTGTTTGTCTTCAATGTTACACAAAAAGAAAATCTTCTAAAATCAACTACTTCTATAAAACATTGCGAAAAAAATGTAACAACTACCTGTATTGGATATAATTGATTTTAGGGTTTTTGTCCCATAAACCATTAAAGGAAAAGATGTCGTGATATCACCTCTCTTGACTAGTAAAAGTCATAACTCACTCATTCTTTTCTTTACTCAAAATTTAATAGCTACACTGCACAATACGATATTGTGTTTATGAATAAAAATGCACAGATGAATTACTAGTACTTTCTTACGCTTTGCTCTTGATAAAACACATGTGACACTGCTTTCTCAAAATTGCATGAGCTCTCTGAATTATCTTCAATAAATGTATCTGTAAGCAAAAGAGTATCTTATCAATCCATGAAATTTTAGCTAATTATGAACAGAATATTAGGGCGAGGTAATTCGAATAAAAACTCTATAATCTAATGTTCTCTGAAACTCTTAAGTGAGTATATATAATTGTAATAGCATCTCTATTCAAAAATTGATTTGGAGAGCCAAAGAGATGCAGTGGTTGGACTCAGTATCTTTGAATCAAGACAGTAACTAACATATGCTAGGAGATTAATAATTTACAACATCCTCTAAATCTGTGGCAATACTTATAAATACCGCTGTTGTTCAATTCTTTGACTGGTTCTCCTACAACATATAGGAAAATATGTCACTACTATCTGATAAAGCTGAAAGACATTCGCAGATGTATCTAGGCTGAAAGGCTAAAATCAAACTTGTAAAAACATTTTGAATATTTGTTCCTCGTGAATAGTCTTATAACATCGAAAGATCTGCTGTTATGGAGATGAATTTCCGATAGCACTAACTTCTAGTAGAGTATAAACACTATAATAAAATAATCTTTATCACATGAATAAAAATGCAAATGAAAATCTTAATTACATATTTTCCAGTTAAGCTAAGATCTATTCACCACGTAAGTGTTCACTTGTATTAGAAATCTACTTTTATTTTGAATTTTGCCTTACCAGTTTCGGATCTTGTTACTTCCTTTTTACTTCTCATCATTTTCACTAGTCGTGGTACGATCAGTTTCAATACTGTTATTAATCCGCCAACTAGTCCAATCACCGTCGTTATTATATAAACTACATCATTCTTTGTTGCATAACTATAACTACATTTCGATGGTTGACATTCATTATAATAACCATCATATACTATTGATGAGTTCCATTTTTTCAACCATCAACTCATCAACAACTTCTTCTATTGTAGAATTCT